TAAAGGTCAAGTAAATCAATTCCTGCTGGCGCTAGCTCCTCCCGCGGCCTGCTTGCCCCACAGACAGCAGCAGGAGACCCCGCTGCGGCCTGCAGCGACAAACCAGCTCTGTGGAGCCATCCTCCAGGACGAGCTTTCCTCCTCACCTGAGAGAGAGGGGGCAGACACCCAGAGGAAGCCACGCCGTGCTCTGGTGCCATGAAAGCCAGGGAGAGGGATGCAGGGCTTCCCTTCGCACAAGGGCCGAAGCGGCAGCCGAACCGCTCCAACAGTGACTCAGGCACGACTCCAGCAGTGGCGAGCACACTGTCACCAGCATTTGAGCCAGCACTGTAAGAGAGCAAAGAACAAGCTCCCAGGCAGCTGGAGCTTTCAGAAAGCTGCATAAATAGAAAAGCTGACAAACACCGCTTGCACATTGGAGATAGCAGTACTGGTAAAACCCAAAACCCCTCAAAAGAACAAAAAAGAACAGAATAGTCAGCAAAGAAGCTACAGCTGGGGGAGATAAAGATGAGACGCACATCTCTGAGCTACCCCAGAAACCTTAACAGCATCCCTAGTATCCGTGGTTGTAAGCGTGACTGCTTTATTGCTGAACTAAGGACTGGCATTCACTCTAGCGCTGCATCCTTTTAGCAAGAAAGGGCATGATTTGTTACAAAGCAATTTGAGAGCAATAATATGAAAAACTCCTATGCAGGGGAAAAAAAAAATATTTAAAGCCTGTTATCATACATAAAGAGACAACCAGACATTAATGCTTTGTCTTCAGCCTGTATTTTATACCTTCTATTCCAGAAATCAGATCTCACTGTAAGTTTTCCATTCATTGCAACAGAAACAGCAGAACAAATAAACCTAAAAATCATAGTTCAGTAGTCCATCAAGACTTCTGTATGCTGGTTCCTGTTAAAATCCTCTAGCCTGCTGAAACATAGCAGCCTGCAGTTGCTCTTTCAGTTTCTTTCCTTAATCTCTGGAATCCATGCCTTGAATGTCTTTCCCCCTTACGCACCAGAAATACTATCTATTCATACCAAGAAGGGGATTCTTGACTCAAAAAACGAGGAAAATTCCTGATTATCAAGACGACTGAAATATCTTTCCACACCGCAAGTTAACAAAGCTATACAGAAGCAATTTATTAGTTTACTTCACTCAGAGTCCTGTAAGAATCAAGTTTAGCTTTAAACTTCACACACCACAATAGCTTGTTCTTTCTCTACTCACACATTTGCTTTGTTTGTTGAATAATACGGTTTAGTAACTTCTCCCTGGTTGGTCTTTTCAGAGAGAAACACAAATGAGACCAACAACATGCTTTCAGCATCTAAACCAAAGCCACAATCGGAAATGATTGAGTTTCACAGACTGACTACCCAGAAGGTTGTCCCCCGCTGAGCACAAGGCTTACGGTCACTCTCTCATGATGAAGTTACACAGTTAACGCTCCTACTGGTTTCCACAGAAACCGCTCTAACACACAAACTGCACTGACCAAGCACCAACCAGGCAACAGCATTCAACTATTTTTTCTAAACAAAACCATTAAATTTAGAATTCATTTAGAATTAGCCTCATTCACATACTCAAGGTCACCGTTTTATGACAGTGTTCAAAACACGAAGTTTCCTAATTAGGCCAGGAAAGACTTCTTGAATTTACTACTTGCATGCATTTGTCTGCATGGAAGCAATACCACCTACTTTCTTCATTATTAGAAGAGTGCTTCAAGGAGTCAACCTGTTTGCGCCGCTTACAGGTGATTTAAAAAATTAAATTTTAGCATAGATGTGTTTAGTTTAGCTTGAGTGTAACAATGTTTCCTACAATTTGGTAACAACGGCTTCCTACATATTTCTAACAATGATAAAAGCAGCTGTACTACTACAGATGAATATGCAAAAGAATGTTTTTCAACAACACCTTTATTGAAGCACTTCAAAATGATCACAATGATAGATGTTGCCTTTAACAGAATAAAACCTGTAATGTCATAATTAAAAGGCACTAATCCTGGCACAAAGGTCTACTTACCCACCTTCCACTGTGACGGAAATAAAAACATCAAATATTTTACTTCTCCTTTGAAAGAGTATGTGCATACCCCCTTTGAGGGCCATTCCGTGTTTGTCATTTAAGTGACATGTAAAAGAAAACCCCAATGTTTCACCAAGGCATACTTTAACGTTCAGCATCTGTAGTCCTAAAGCAATAGACTACTCATTGAAGGTTTATGATCTAGTGAGACAAGTCATTCTACATCCACGTTTTGGGAATAAAAGTCCTGAAGCACATACCAGTCTCAGGCATTCACACATTACTTCTCCTTTAACACAATTCATTGCTTTGCTGTTTGTGTGATCAGTGATGCACTGCTCTTAGCAAGATAGCTCAAACAAACAGATTTACACCCCACTATTTAGAATTCACCCAGCTGTCTCTAGTCAGGGTCAGTGCAAAAGCAAGACAGCAGGGAGCAGCACGGGGGCACGCTGCCCAGGAGGAAGCGTGGCTCTTTCCCATTCAGTAGACGCACAAAGCAAATCATGACATGCCACTGCACAGCCACAGTAACTATGAAATTAAACATTAAAAAAGTTAAAAGCTTGATAATCCAGCTAAGTCATACTTCAAATTATTACAGATTCCTGCACAACATTCCTATATTAATCAGAGGGACTGTTTAAGGCATTTTCTTTGGCCTCCTTCCTTCTACCAGAAGGTGAAGATTATGCAGTTTAATGTCAGCATCCAAAAAGGACCATCTTTCCAACCTGCTTCCATAAAGATGTAAAGAGAAAATACAAACTGATAAGAAACTAGATTATTAGTTCCACAGATCATGAAACAGCTCCACATTTGTACATTTTTCATGTTGCCAAGTGGTAGGACAGAATTCTGTGCAACTGCTGAGACACTCAGCTGTACTTGGGGTGATGATGAGAATTATGCTGCACTGTAATTGCACTTAAAGAAGCCACCATCCACACTAACATCGATAGGACATTAACACTCCAAGGAAAACTTCCACATAGCCCAGTGCTATGGGTGCACACACAAACATTTCTTCCCAGTATGGTCTAGAGACACACTGCTCTGTGATCAGTAAGAGCGATCACTTAGTACTGAACAAAACCAACAAGTATTTAGAGTTGATGGCTATTTTAAATCATCGGGATGCCATACGATACCAACAGATCATGAGGTCACAAAGGTATGACTGGTGTCTAACTTGTATGGTATTCATGACCAAGACTTCTCTCAGGCTCAGTATTTGCCTTTTCACAAGACCCAGGTTTCTTCATATACGGATGGGCAAGGCCTACTGTGGATACATCAGAAGCGTGTTTCAGGACTACAACTATTGATGCTTAAGTACAATAATTTATGTTACTAAAATGCATCCCCAAAAGCAACTTTTGTTAAGAGAATGGGAAATTTAATCAGTCTTTTTACTGTCCAGGCTCACTACAGAGCCTGAGACAAGTAATCATCATGAGAGATTAGATCAGTCCAACAGCTCTGTAGAAGCGGAACACAGCTACAGCATCCCAGTTCAGCAGACAACACTGCTAATGCCTGTCTTAGGCTCCACACCTTTATTAGAACAGAAAAGGTTTAACCGTGGACTTAACTGTGCCAGATGAGTGAGTAGGTTTTTTTCAGTCCAAGGCTGAAAGGTGGCGAGAACTGCCTTGCTTCTCTGGAAAGACTTACTACACTTCCCTTCTGTTTCAAAATGAAGGTAGTTGGCAAGTTAATCAAGCCTTGAAACAGAAAAAATGTAATCCTCTGCACTGGATTCTAACAGCCTCTTCAAGGTCTACATTTCTACCATGTGAGTAAGTAAGGGCATCTGGAATAACAGTACAAGAATAGCTGTGAAAACCCAGGTGGAGTCATTTTGTGAAGTAATGCAAATGTACTTTTTAGAGTGCACACATCATAGGTGGCCAGCGTAGCTCTCCTTGCTATTTACATTTAGAAGTAGAAACTATTACCTAAATACCACATCAAGCAAACAGCTGTTGGCCAAGTTCACACCACAGCTGATTTAAGTCATTAGGACTGGTATCAGACCAACCTGGGTGATAAATCTTACAGCAGTAACACTGTTTTCAAATTTTGTGTCTAAAGGCATTTTGCTTTCAATGTTGACTTCAGATAGCTTGTTCTGCATGCAGCAAAGCCCACCAACTGAAGAAATATGCACGATTTTTTACTCAAGAGTTCATTAATCCTTCCCACCAGCCAAGTTACAGGTGAAGGATGCTAACCAATACTCAGGCCTAAAAACTAACCTGTTACAGCCCAGTAAGCCTGAAAGCTTACATGGAGGCAAGCCCTGAACAGAAGACATCCCATTTGTTACCATTACTTGGAAGATGTTGACATACGGTCCTATAAGTTAATCAATGACCTAAGAGAAATTAATGCAACAAAGCATTTTGGAAGAACAGTCAGTGTAACTTTGGATTAAAAATCACAACAAAGATTTTGTTCAAGATCTCAGTCAACAAAAGCCTCACTTTCCAATGAGATAAGAATCTTTATGCTTCAACTGGCACTGCTAGATCTGACACTTGTGCTAGAAAAGCAAAAGTTTTACTCTATGCTTGACAACAAGAAACAGGCTTGTCGACATATGTATTTTTCTCCTAAAAACAGAGCTCCAGAAGGCTGCCCCTACTTAAGCTGCCCCCCTACTAAAGCTGACAAGTGCTTTTCATAAACAAACCAACCAAAAAAGCACTGAAGTCTGCTGAGACTGACTGGCTAACCTTGCTCATGTCAGCTGAAAAAGACCCAGGCCTGAAAGGTAGTTTTATAAGCATTTCATATGAATAGTTGAACCACAGAACATACAGAAGCTTAAGTATTTACCAAGCCTTCTTCCCCCATTGTAACTTTGTGGGAGAGGACACAAGACACCCCATAATGTATTGCCATGAGTTAAGCCACATCAACTCAAGTCAGTCAGTTACGTGTCAATACAACCCTCAAAACATAAGTTTATTGAATAAAGCTGAAGAGCAGTAAACCAACATATGCATCCACCTAAATAAAAAAATTCACGTATTTACAAAGTTCAGTAATTGTATAAGTTGTTCACATGCAGAGAGTAATGCACAGGTTAACAACTGGTAGTGTTTGGATGCCATAAATGCTGAAAGCAGTGAAGTATATAAACACCAAACACATCAAGTTTAGCTATAGGCCAGTTAACTAAACAGTGACCTGGTCCCCCACAAAGATTCACACATTCTAGTTTAGTTTCCTTATTTTAGGCACAAGCAAGTTTGCTAAATAAAAGTAACTGTAGCAGTTCCTGGTGAACTAGGGACTACAGTAGCAAGTTAATATACCCTCTCCTCTACAGCACCAGAGTATGGATTAATTGAAATCATGCTTCAGAGAACTGAAAGGGGACAAAAAGTTAAAATGCAAGTTCAGACTGAATGCAGGCAGCATGTAGTGTCTGTGCAACAGTGCGATAGTTGGTACAGAACAGTAAGGCCATGGCAGTCTAAATTAAAACTGGCTTGTCATAACTGATATGGAGTAAACGGTGTTTCCAACCAAAGACTCCAGCATAATGCAAACCCTACATTTAGGTGAAGAATCACACACAGTGTGAGGCAACACAAGCAGGTGTACCATGTATTTGCATACACTAGTAAGCTACACTGACATTACTGTATGAACAAACCAGTCTTAACAAGTCTGTCCCTTTAAATATATTGAAGTCATTGAGAAAGTAAAGCTACAAAAACATTACAATCTTTAGTTTATACATACTTCCCTATACTGTAGGAGCTAGTCAAGAAACAGGATCAATTCATTGGCTCTCTTGTGCTTTGACACAGTAGAACATTTCATCTTGCAACTTACAGACTTTGCACATGGTTACATCAAGAAAGCAGGCAGGTCTAGAGTTGTCACAATAGCCTAGATGTTCCATAGCACCAGGTGAAACTGTGCCCAGCCATTTCATGAGCAGGAGACACACTAGACAATTACATAGATATTGTGCTAAAGGTCAACAACTGACTCTATACAAAAACACCAGTAATTTAAGTGTCATGCAGCTGCTCAGAATGTGTGTTCTGGTTTCAGATAGAGACCACTAATATCTGTAGATAGAAAAATGTATTTGAACAAAGTCTGATGTTCCTAGTGATTTGTTTTCATGCTGGAATACTCCAATTTTTGAAAGCTTGACGGAACAGTCCATTCCCATCCCCCACACAAATGTTAAACAGAAGCAACAAAATTATTTTAAAGAGTTGACTCTTTCCTCATTCATCATAAGTTTTTTTTTTTCAAGTGACAGGATAAGATTTCAGCTGTAGATTAGTGATGCTGATCTATGCCTTGTGCTCCCCTCTGCAGTTTCCATTTCTCTGCTTACATACACACATCACATGCATTTGTGAGATAAATCAGTATCCCACAACTCACGCTTAAATGTTTTCTAACTACTGTATGTGGCATCTTACAGAATCTTAATGCTGTCAATCATCAGCATCTTCAAGCCACTAAACACTAGAAATAAAACACTTGCTGAAAACCATATAAAAACCTGGCCCTGAAAAACCAGAACAGAGTGTACCATCATAGTTAACACGGTAGAGAGATTTTTTTTTTTTAAAAAGCCCCCCCCAAACCCTCCCACCATAGATGGTTGTAAAATAAATATTTGTGCTGACTTTATCATGACAACTCTAGTTGTTTTGTGACAGAATAGGAATACAAGTCTTCAGCAGTGCATATGAGAAATGAACCGTGAAAAGGCAGATTCTTGATACAGGATTTTTGGGTAATATCTCATTATGGAGGGAAGTGGACAATTGAGATTATGGCCAACTGGTACTGGAGATTCCAGGAAGACTTCAGCTTCTTCTAGATTTTGAATGCTGAATAAGCCACTGAAGCGTGATATCTAAAAGAGAGAGAAGAGAAGTTCCATATTCAAGTGTCTATCTGTATTTGTGTAACTGGCATCGCTTTGGTATGCCAGTGTCCTCAAATACATGCCAGGAATGTCCACCCCTTCTCTAGAGGATGGTCCAAGATGGATCAACAGAATGATTTTTTTTTTTTTAATGCTTGCTGTCTGTGCTTTAGTCCTATAATTGCCCAGCATCCTTTAAGTAGCATTGAAAGGAACTGCCTCAGACATCCTGGTTTCTCAGTCAACTCCACCTCTAGGAAAAAGACATCCCTTAATCTGGTACTTTGGTATGGCTCACGTAATTAGTTTTAGTATTGAGCCAGTCTGCCTCTCCTCACCTGATGAGAACAAAGTTAGTTTAGCCCTACAGTACAAGGCATTGAGCTCCTCCACACTTGAAAGACAGTCTCCTAAGGAAGTGAAACACACTAGCATCATACCAGCCCAATGCTTCCAGCAGCACCTTCCCTACAGCATCAGTGATGCTCAGCTGTGCTGGGAGCCTTCTGCAGGAGACATGATAGAAAGGAGTATCTGCTTCTCCTATCCACCATGTTTGAATCTTTAACTGATGGCAGTGTGACAGGGACTTTTTGTATAAGAAGCCAGAAGAGTTCCACAGGCTGTTCATTTTTCCTGGAAAGAAGTTGAGTCCTTAATATTAATATACACTTCTGGTACCCTCTATAGTTTGTTCCTGTGATCAGCAGTCTGAAGTTTCCCTCATCAGTAAACTCATGTTAGCCCTCCATGAACCAGTGTTAATCTCGTGGAAGCTACAAGAGGACATCAGCAGAAGGATGACAAGTGTTGTTAAGTACTGTGTTCATATTCAGTTGAGATTACTCAGTTTACTTACAATACTAGTGTCAAGTACTTGGTATTACACAGTACCAGTCTTTGAACTCCAGAAGTTCTAAAGCAATTGATGTCAGCACCAGAAAAAGTTACTGTTTGGCTGCATGGAGTAATGACAAGCATAGGCCACAACATGAACTGTTTTGATAAGACAGCAAGGGAAGATGATTATTTCAAAGGAATGACTGTTGAGGAAAAACTTGCTGCAAGTAGTTGCTAGCCTCATGAAGTGAGGCAGAGTTGAAAGTACCTGACAGAAGTATAAAATCATTTAGGCCAAGCTAAGATTGAGAATAGTCAGCTATTTGCTGCAAACTAACTTAAGGCAGGCAGCCGATTTCACAGGACACTGACATATGTTTTGATAACTACAACCCCTACACCTTTAATACCAGTCAAGCTTCCTCACTGCCATCAGGAGTTACACCAAATTTAACCAGTGCACTTACACATCATTCTTTGATTTGTTACCAGTTTCCTGAAGCCAGGAAGCTTGTGTTTAAGAAGTTACAATCCCCCAATTCATCCTCTGACAGGTCTTCATAATGCTTAGCATTTTAGGTTAATAGTTACCTATATTATCTTTCTCTTTGCAAGAAATTGAGTAGCAGCAGATTTCTCTGTCCTGAATAGCAGCAAGGTTCCTATGAAAGAGAGAACATTTCAACATACACTTCACTTAAAACAAAAACTCTCATACTGAGAATCTAAACTGTTCCCCTTCACTTTCTCCACATAACTTGTTTCTGTACAATGTTTCAGCTACCTCCTGTTGCTTCTTGATCCAACAACCCTATGTACATGAATTCATTTATTGAGTTAAAGTAACCTTTCTTAGAAACTGTTAGACTTACATCTTTTCAATTAGCTGTTTCTCATCCAAAGCATTAGGAAGGTCTCTCTTATTTCCAAGTACTAGAACCTGAAAACCAGAGCAGAAGGAAACAGTAGCAGCTTTGCTTAAAAGCAAAAAAAACAAAAAACCCCCTACAAACAACAAACTTCAGGGGAGTCTGACAAGCAGTCTGCACTAGGCTATTACATCTAACAAAGGAGACATTCACTATTAAACCAGATCAAGAAGGACTGACATAGTCACAGGGAAAAAGGAGGTACAAATAAACAAATGTGCAAAAAGCAAGCATGAGAACACATCAGCTGATAAAACTGAGAACAATCCCAGTCAACATTCAGCTGAGGTTACCCAAACTTACTCTATACTTCTGTACTACACTCTGGTAATCTGTACTATAGTAGACTCTAGACGAGAGCACAAACTCATACTGTGGAATACTCTTAACTACTGTTGCAAATTTTATTTTTTTTGTGGGCTCTGAACAAGAATAAGATCACTGAAGGATTGACTGAGGTCAAGAATTTGATTTAAGGCATGAGGGGCAGGTATTGTTCAAGCTTATACTAACCAGTAAGCTTAGACCTTACACTTGACTTAAGAGTTCAAGCCAGTCTTCAGAGTTGCTAAAGTTATGCACATCCCTCAAGCACATTTAATACTGTGTAAGGCATATTACTTACAGGGATTCCTTGTAACTGTGGCTTATCTAGAAGATTGTGCAGCTCATTTCGAGAGGCTTCTATTTTTTCACGATCTGCAGCATCTACCATGTAGCTTTAAAGAGAATTTAAGGTTAGGTCAGTGAGACTGAACTACTTCAGAAACAGCAGTCTTTCCTTTACACTGTCAGTTTTGAGTGCATTCAACAAGGCTTTAAACAAAGCTAGGTCTTCTGAGCAAAGAATTTGGTTCTTTCAAAAAAATTCTTTAAGATCAGAGTAGATGGAAGATTCTTTCAGTTAGACAGCACTGCCACCCAGTTAAGACAGGAAGTAGTTAGTACTCCAGATCAGACACCGATAAGAAAATGAGCCCTGAACTTATAGGTAAAAAAGGTCAATATGGTTGCAGTACAGTTTCAAAATTAGAAGTAGTACTACTGAGTCAAGCATGCACTGTTAGAAAGGCTACACACAGAAGAGGCAAATCTGAAGTTAAGTACTAGCTGAAGGGAGGCGACACTTACACAATAGCATTAACTCCTCTGCAATATCGCTCCCACATGCTTCGGAATCGTGGTTGCCCTCCTATATCCCAAATCTTAAGGCAAGGGGAAAAAGAAAATTTAGCCATGCACTATGTTTAAACATGTCACGCAAAGATAAGACAAGAAATCAAAACACAGTTTTTAATTTCTCCTTAGGCCAGCTGCAGGACCTCTCACATATTAGAACAGAAATAATCCCTTGGACAGCTGCTCGAAGCTTGCAGGCCCAATAGCTAAGATGCAAACTAACACATCTTACACCAGATGCAAGAATGCACCTGTGTACTAATTTTTCACACTGTGGAATACAAGAAAATAAAATAAGATGTACTGACTTAAAATTTTGCTTTTGGTGTAAGCCTTCCCTTAAGCAATATTGATGAGCAGAAGAGGAGGGTCTGTGGGCCCTAAACATGTGAAAATTGGCTCAGATTAAAGCCAGACAGCATTATCACAACATTGCTTTAACTAGTCCATGAACCTGGAAATCACACACAGATTCTCCTTTAAGAAGCCCCATAAATAAACATAGGCATACTCTTTAAGCTATTTGACAGATTCAGCTGAGCCTCTTCAACTTCCTGTATTTGTCCTAATGGTGGGAGCAAAACAGAGCAAACATATACATTTTAATCTAGAAGCTGAAGACCACCTTGCATGGGTTTAAAAAGAGACAGTCAACAATGGTAACATACCTTTATTGTAACATTACCCTTCGTAACTTTTCTCATGTTGAAGCCCACAGTAGGAATCATATCTTCACTGAACTGACCTGACTGGAAAAAAAAAGAAAGTTAAATTTAGCGTTAATCTGATGCAGCTAGTTTACATAGTAAAATACCAACAGCTTTTTCTATTTGCCTTTCAATTGAAGGCTTTATAGACAAAAACACATAGATGTTATATTCATGTACATTGAAGCGCGTGTGAAGTCAGACAAGTCATTTCTTATAAGCACTTAAATAATTTTTCAAGCCTTGAGGCAGTCAGGAGAGCAAAGTTACTTGAGAAGTGCTTTGCATAGCTTAACAGATGGACAGTCAAGGCAAGTATAGGAAAAGAGCCATTCACCTACTTCTGCTGCAGCCAAGTTCTCTACGTCAGGATCTCCTAGCTACCTGGAAGCTAGAAATATCCAGAAGATTTTCCTCTGATGCAAGCTGCTCTATGGACAACATTTACAGTAATAAATCACTCTTGTGGAGTAAGCCTCCAACCCACAGGTATGGGTTAACTCCCCGAGGAGTTTTAAAAGGCTGGAAAGTGGAAGGACCTGACAGGTCTGCTTCCTGCTATGCTACACAGTGTCCAACTTATTCAGCATTGGAAGAGGCAACCCAAATGCACCCGGAGAGTATTTCAGCCCATTTCTGCCAGAAGTTCAGCATTGCTTTAAGCTCTCACGTAACCACTGCAAAACAGTGTTGTATTAAAGAGGTTCTCTAGCGGCAGATGTTTTACTATCTGTTACACTTTTAGCTGTAACAGCTTAAAAGCCAAGTTCACAGCTATCTCCTGTAGCTAACCCAGGAGCCATAACAAGTGTTATCAACAGTAGTACAGATTACTCCCGTGCTCCCTTGGCTGTTCAGCAAAAGGTGAATCTCAGCCACAGTGGTCATTATGTATCTCAGTACATCCATTATGTGTAATAGAACCAGACAGTCAACCAGATCTGGAAAAATGGTCGACTCGAATGCATGCAGCTGTTTAATTAGGGTTCGATATCATAGCAGCAGGAAGTCTGCTTCTCTCCCCTGATGTTGCACAGAGGAGCTAGCCTGAGTTAAAAGCCCTTTAGGACCTATGAAGCAGACATCACATCACCTTATAGAGTTAGGGTCCAACTGCTCACAAGCTGGAAGTAGTAACTAAATCTGACTGGACATGCTTTGAGTACATGCTGTTCAGAGTTTTCAAACAAAGATGATCAGCTTGTAATACCAATGCTTTGTCATTTGCTTCTATGCAAATGACATTCTATGCTTCTAGAAGCCCACACTTTCTTCAGCTTGTTCCCCTTACCTCATGCCCCCAAAAAACCCTGCGATCTTCCACTAGCAAACCAAAGCTGCAAGCTTCACACAACAGACTCCAGTATAACACTGATAAACATTAGAAGCCAACTGAAAACATACAGATGATAGCAGTCTCATTTGGGCTTATTTGGCCAAGTCCTTCAGTTAAATGGCACATTGATCTTGCTGTTGACCTCCAAAACAGAAATACACGCAGAGCTTGGATTTGAAGCCAGCAGTCCCCTGAACAGGTGGTGATTTGTCACATTTAAGATCTGCTTTCCAGATGCATGGCTATACAGACCAACAGTCTTTTAAAAGGAGTAAAAAAAAAAAAAAAGAGTCCTTGAATGCAACAGTAAAAACAGTGATGACCTGAAAAATGGACAGCTTAAACTTCATTAGGCAGGTGTTCTGCATTCTCATTTGAAAGAAGCTTCAACTGTGGAAGCTATACAGAAGAGCACACGTCAATCTCACATGGTGCCGTTTCAGAAACTACTCTAACCTTTCTGCTAACTTAGCAAGGTAAATGCACAGCCTGAGTGCCTGTTCATCAGCTTCCCATTCCTGCCCTGAAAGGCCAGTGTCCGAGTTGTCCATTTCAGCCAGTCTGATTACACATAGCTCAGCAGCAGATGGTTAACTCTGCTTTCTATAAACGTGCGCTGCCAATCTTACCTTTGAAGGGTCAGCTTGCCATGGTTGCTCAAGAACCACTGCATTCCTGCCCCTATAGTCACACCCTACACCCACATCTTCTAACCAAACATCTCCCAAGCACTCCCTGAACCTCCATCTCTGTGCTACTTCGTATTACCCCATATGCTGTCAGCTATTCCCACTCAGATACTTCCAGATTCACTTGAAAGCTGTTCCTATCAATAGTTCACGCTCTCTCACCGTTCTTTTAGGATACAGATCCCTTCAGATTGGAGCAGCACCTCATTTGCCACATGTTTAATGTAGCATTGAATAAATTACTGTGATCCACCACAAGGAACTTTTTACAGAGTCTTCAGAAAAGCTGCTACACTTTATACTACTTTCCAAGTACTCTCTACCCACACCACACATCCAGGTGGCATAAAAACCTGTTCTGACTTGCTTAAAAACTACACTACAGAGTTGCTCAGTTACAACTTGAGTTTCAGCTTTCTGTACTCTGCTTCATAGGTGAGACAAACCAGCGCTACCTGACGTACTTTCTGAACTGTCAGAAACAGAAGGAAAGGGTAGCAGGTACTTTCACTGAGCTGCCCCCAAAACACAAGCATGCCCTTTCTCTCTATAGGAAGTTTGGAGGCTGTGGATTCATAGCTTTGAGAGGCACACCTGACTGCAGGTTTTGAGCATATTGGTCAACTCAGATCTTCATTTGAAAGACCTTACTCTGATATAAGTGCAGGTGTTCCTCTGTTCACCATCAGTGTACCTAAAGAAAGCTACTGGCAGTCATCGTATCTTTTAAGACAGGTCAAAAAAACAGTTAGAACAATTGTAATGGATTTTGCTAACAGGCAGTGATCAACTTTGATAGGTTCTGCTATTGTATCCAATTGTCTTGGCCTGGAAACAGTTCTCTAAACCCAGAATTTAGAGGGCTTTTGTTTACTACCTCTACAGAGGAAAAAAGCCAAGGAATTAAGCAGCATCTTAAGGTATTCATATGCAAAAGCTACTCACACAGCAGAACAAGAAAAATATGTTTTTATTAGTAGACAGTTCTGTTTGAATCAGACTTCCCTCTGTCCCCCTCCAGAGCAGATTACTCAGCCCTATCACTGTGTTCACAATACAATGCTTTCTCCTTCTAAAACAGGCATCAGCTTTAAAACAAGTTTGATAAGCACGGAAATATTTTCAATTCCCAATCTGAAAGTGCTTAGCTGTTGTCATACACAGTAAACATTGCTCAAGGACAGCAAGAGTAGTTGGTTACAAATCTAGCAATAGCATCTGTTTTTGGCACCTGTGACTATTCCAATAGGCAGACACTGTACTTCATCCAGGCCTTCTGGAAGATCAGCCTTGTGTACTAGAAGTGATTATGAATTAAGCCATTAGCTCTGAGGTCATGCAGAACATACAGCATTAATACAAACTGTTTGCTGAAGGTCAAAAACCAAAGTTAACTCTAGTCCCTATATGAAAGATGAAAGCAGAGACTAAACAGACAATTTCAGAGACCAAATGCAGAAGAAACCTGCAAGACTAGTCTTTAAGCCTCCTGGTTTAAGAGATGCTCCGTTCTCAATACTCCAAGCTCCTGGAGAACCCAAGCACGTGATTTTAGTGCCATCTGATTCCTACCTAAATTCAAGCACAACCAGCACTGGAAGTTCCACTGCATTCATATTAAGGTAGTTGAAGATAAGCATTCAAGTTCAACCTCTGTTTAACGGAAGACAGTACTAGCCACTGTTGCAGTGACCAAGGCGAGCTGTACAGAAATGCCCTATAGTATATATTCTTCAGATATCTGGACACTGTATCATGACTTCATGTTTGGTATGTTACACATAGTGGGCATACAAGCAGTCTTTTGAAAACTCACAACTGACTATAGCCCTGGTGCTAGAACTTTGAGCTTCTATATGTTGTTGGGCTTAGTGTGGAATTGCCCAGTTAAAGCCACCTCGGTCCGACAGGTGTTATATTCAAGATCACTAAATCACCCCCAATACCAGACCTGAAGGTCTAAGATGAAGGGAACGACTAGCTAGCTAAGCAGGCAAGAACAGAGCAGCTTTACACGATGTTTGTCCACTCCCACAGTTATTTTAACAAGCTGGCAAGTGAGAGAGACAGATAAAATTGTATCATAGAGCAACCTGAACCCATTTACCTGCCTGAGTATTTCTGTTGGATAAGGATTATTTGGAGGAGTAAAACTGTTTCCAGATTGGACTAAGTCCCTGCACTGTACTCTAGTAATGTAGGAGTACAGGGCCAACACCTACCTTCATGAACCAGACTGAGTTCAGTTCACCTCCTATCTAGTATTAGCACTAACTCTTGCACAGACTATAGCACACACATCAAGTGCACTCTCCATCTCACTACCAGCTCCAAGACAGGCCGACCTGTTACACACCAGCTCACACTAGCTGTGGTGTGTGCTCTGAAACACCACCATGCATGCCGAAGCACAGCCACATCCACAGGCGCTGCTTTTTACCTGCAACCCTGGCAGACGGCCTCTCTGGGTCTGCGCCCTCTCCCTCAGCCCCACAACAGGCCAGGGGCAGCTTGGCCAGCCAGCACCCGCAGAAGTCTTTCCTCGGGAACGAGCCGGCAGCATGCCGGTTACAGGTACAGTTCATTTCCCAGAAGGGTAGGATGAGATGACTTCGGACAAGCATTTAACATACTGTCACCTAACATTCCGGAAGTGTACAAAGGATGCAAGTTTAGTCTTTCTTAATACTTCATTAACATTGAAACAAGCTACTTACTAAACCTACCATTTCGACTTGTCTAGAGAGTCCAAAAAAGCAAACTAAACCACACTCTGGCTACTTCATCTGCCTCTCCGTAGCCATAAGCTACGGCCAGAAGACTGCCAATTTCCAGTGAGTTATGCTTACCAGAGTGCCAGCACCAAGTCCTAAGCAGCTTGATCTTCCTTTAAAATTCATTTCAACACACTGAAGGATCCATTAAAGGCAGAACTCAAACTGCTGCAGTAGAACCAGTGTTCCCTCTTCTTTCTTTCCAGCTAGAGCAGTAGCTCTCTCCTGCTGGCACTGCAAAGC